GGGACCGGCCTGTGTGTGCCTGGAGAGGAACCTGCTGAGCTGTGCGCGCTGGTGCCTCGTTAAGGACTTGCCCCCATGTCTGGCTGGGGACTTTATTCTGTGTGTGCATGTGTGTGTGCACGGCCTGGTGGGGGGACGGGCCTGAACGCTGATGAGGGACTTCCCTGCACCTCGTGAGCACCTGGCCAGGAGCTGCCTGACTCATGCTAGAGCATCCAGAGTAACAGCCACAGCAACTACTGCGTGGTCAAACAACTGTAGTTCTACTAGCCTGGGCACTGCTGCATAGGGTTCGGTATGGTCAACTTTGGTCTAACTTTGCCACTATACCCTAGCCTAGCTGTGTGTTGCATGCACTTGGCGTTATCCTGAGCAGCGAGCAAAATACAAACACAGCAAATACTGTAGTTCTACCAGCCTGGGCCGCTGACACTGCTGCATAGGGTTCGGTACAGTCAACTTTCGTCTAACTTTGCCACTATACCCTAGCTTAGCTGTGTGTTGCATGCACTTGGCATTATCCTGAGCAGCGAGCAAAATAATAACATGAATCCCCCTTTGACACTCTTTGGGACAAAAGTATTACGCTGAAATGATTTATTACTGTGCCCTTACTTCATCTCTCTTTAAGATGCAGAATTCTAGTCTGAAAACTATTATAAAAATGATCCAGGGAGTATTTTGTGACTCAAAGGATTTAATTTTGTTTGTGTGTTAAAAATGCCCTAACAAACTAACTGTAAGCTACGTAAAAATCTAGCTAACAGTGTTTCAAATCCGGGGACTTCTGTGTTTGTCCGGATATCATTCCTACAATAAGGACTAAAAAGTCAGAAAGTAGCAGAAGTCTTAAATGTTGTGATGTTCTGTTTCTGCCTGTTTTTTTTTTGTTTGTTTTTTTTTTTTGTGAGTCAGCCCCCAGAAAATCCTGTTAACTCTGTTGTAGGCAATAGTGGGAAAAGCAACTAAGGAATATATCTTAGGCTTTATAAGTTATGTTTGTGTGAGGAGTATCATTGGCGTAATAGTGCTGCAACTTTTTATTTTATTTTATTATTATTATTACTCCTTAGCTGAAATTCCAGTAAATTAATCAGTGGTGAATAATGATTTACAGTGCTCATGTCAGTCTTTAAACCTGCGGACTTAGCTTTATTTTAGCTGCAGCTGACTAAAGTGATGCTTTTTATGTAGATTACATGTGCAATTTTTACAGCTGTCTTGCTCAGCCTTTTGTTTGGGCTATAAGTAGTGGCAGTGATGATAATTAGTACCGTTTTCCTTTTGTCTTCACAGATACAGCTATTAGAAGTGACAAGTGCTGGGGGAGTAGCTTATCTCTCAGGCTGGTGCGTGGCTGGTTGCTGTGTGGATCGGTCGGAAAGCCCTGTGAGATGACAAATCAAATGGCCCAATGTGGTCACTTGAAGCCAACTCAAAGTCCTTCACGTCTCCCAGATGATATACTGGGCTTGGACGTTTCTCATGGCATTTTGTCTGGTTATCTGCTGTGAATCTCACCAGGTTGTGGGACCAAAACAAGAGGCAGGAAAAAGCTGCTCCATTGCTACCTTACTGGCTTGTGTTGCCATCTCCACCTGGATTACTGGAAAAATTTCTTGCAGTTGCCACTAATGTGTTCCCAGGGCTGAAGTGCCACCACTGTCTGCATCTTTGTAACTGCAACATCAGCTTCCAGTGAATAAGCAATGACATGTTTTCCTTTCCTAAATAGTGAAATACCCATCTAGCCACCTAACCAATTAACTACCCACCTAATTACCTACCTCCTCACCTAGGTACCCACCTATCTAATGCTAAATCTACACCATATTTCAGGGCACAAATCATACTTTATGCATGTACTATGTGCTATAATATCTGTGCATTATTATAATTAATGCATCTATTGTATTATAAATATATAATATATAAATGGACACTCTATGTTATGTAGACACAACAACAAATGTCACCCCCAGTATGAATTGATCTTTATCTATAAAACTGAATACGAAGTATGTACACTGTGTCGTGCATACCTATCATCTCTGAAGTATTTTTTATGCATGTCTCTGCATTTACAGAGAGAGAGGAAGAGCCTTGTCTTTATAATGCCCAATATGAACCATGCAGTCATTTAGTATATAGCAGAACAGAAACACAGCTTCATATTCCCAATTTTTATCAATCTGGAGTTAAGTGCTCTGTGCTTGTGCTCACAGAATACTTCAAGTGTTTATAATGTACACTGTTACCATGTATAACATGCTTAAGTCTGTAGCTGCATTTACTAAGCTTAGTCATGTGTTTAATATATATTAAAGTATGTATTATGTAATACATACAATTATATATATTATAATACCTATTACAATTATGTAATTTTATGGTACGGAGGAGAACGGGCTCAGCTGCAGTTAGTGCTGTGGCAGCTCGAGGCACACGGGGTCCCCCAGGGCCACAGTCCCCTCGCCTTGACGTCCCCTTCTCCGTCACCCCCGGCCCCAAGCACCAAGCAAGTACAATGATGAGAGAAGAAAAAATTTAAAGTTTATTAAACATTAAGAATAAGAGACAAAAAAAAAAAAAGGGCTGAACAGCATACAGGATGCAATTCATTTCATGTCATACATTTAATTTGATCTTATTTATTCAACTCATATTGAAACAGATGCTGTCCTGTGGTGTTGCCAGAAATACAATGGTTGATCACTTGTAAGTTTTAATACATAGAATTTTTCTTTACATAAACAAACAACAAAATAAAAATTATCTGCACATCTCTTGTGTAAATCACATGCAAAAATAGAGTTTATAGTCAAAATAGGGGCTACTACAAACCGACAGAGGCAAGAGATTCCAATAGTTGCGTTTGGGGGGAGAGGATGGGCAGGGCATCCTTTGGCTTTAACTCGGCCCCCCTGCAGCTTCCGCAGAGCTGTATAACGTGCATGCACATACGGACGTGTCTATAGGCACAAGCCAGCCTCAGCTCCACACCGAGCTCACGCTCCAGCCTCTCTTTGGAATTTCTTCCTTCTGTGGCCTCAAGTCACTAGGCCCTCCGCGGCGTTCGAGCGACTCTCACGCCGCACCACAAAGGAAAAACTGAAAAATAGATCCCCCTTCTGCCGCACAAGGTGCTAGGATTCACCAACATCTCACATTCATTTTATTTTTAGAGGGCTTTTCTTTAAAGAAAAAATATATATTATAAGTTTCAGGAAAAAAAAAAGGCATTTTACCAATGCTTACCCTTTAATTGAAGTCAGCAAATTACTTAGAGATACTATTAAATCACTCTGCAAATATATATATTTCTATTTTTATAAAATTATACTTTGATAGACCTACGAGCTCCTTTATACAACAAAGCCATCAGAGCCCTGATGATCCCAGCTAAACTGTCCTTACGAACTGAAAACAAGACAAATATATATATATTATATATTTTAAAACTGTTATTCTGGGGAGACACTCTGACTGGAAAACCTGTTCTTCTCATGCCATATTCCCATGCATATTCCTCACCTATTTTCTTTTTAACCAAGGGTGAGCTTTCCAGCTGCGCCGGGGTACCTGCCTTTCACAGTGAAAGGCGAATCCTGCGCCATGGATTAATTGGACCCCCGATCCCTGCCCTGTACTGACCAACACCTCCCACCCCAGGAACAAAAATCACCCTCTCGATTTTTTTTCCGAGCTGCCTTTTATGCTTTAATGACCACGTGGTGGTGACAACACAACCCACCTTTGGGTCTGGCTGTTTGCGTACCAGCTGGGGATGTCACACCCGCAATTCCTGCCGTTTACGTGTCACCCCAAGAATAATGACAGCGTTGGCCAAGACGATGCTGGGGCAATTTGCTGGGTTGCTGCTGAAAGTGTGTCCAGGCGCGTGACTGAGCCCTGCCCCTGCCAAAAACCTGTGCCAAAGGAAAAGGAGAAAAAGGGTGTCTTTCCTAGTGGCTCTAGCAGATAAACAGACTTGTGTCCAACACTTTCAGCCTCGTTTCTCTACCCTTGCATTCAGTGGCTTATACTGACCTTTAGAAAATAACTTGCTACACATGAAAACTTGGCTGCAGCACATGGAAATTCAATGCACTGAATAAATGGTCCACAGGCAAGTACTGCACATTACAGGGCACTGACAAGTCCGGTACATTTGAGGAAAAATACTGCAAAAAAAGCCATCAATGCAAGGATATATTTAATGCTGAACAAAACATTGAGTCCACTGTAACAATCTCCTGAAGCATGATTACTGATTTAATGGAATGAACAACCTTTTATTTGAAAATAATGTCAAAACACTTAGAAAACCGTGAACAAGACGTGTAGCACCTTATTTTCCTCACATGTTAAGAAACGTATGCAGTACATACAACCTATTTACTTAAAAACAACAACAAAGAATCAGCTGGAAACAAATTCTAGCAGCAGCAGCAGATTACAAATGAATGTGAGTTTCTTTTGTCCTATATATCATTTTTCTGCCTTCATAAAAAACTGTATTGTCCAATCAAGAGTTGATTAAAATATGTTGTGCTTTATCCCTAATAAACGGATTCTTTTCATATGGAAAATAATAAAGTTTCTCTTCCCTAGTAGCATGGAACCCCCTGAAAGCCATGTTACTTCCATAAAAATTTAATTTCAAGCACAAAGCATACCAATGTGCCAGTGGCAGGCTTAAAATATTAAAGATTTAAAAAAAAAACACAAACATTTCCTCTCTGTACAATATTGGAGAATATATATCTTTGCTATATATTTTAAACATGGAATAGCTTTTTCTTTTTGCTATATATAATATATGTCTTTCAAAATACATTTGTCAGTATTTGTACTTGAAAAATACTGTACAAAACAAACATACTATAATTATTCTGTATAAACTTTATACATTTTATAATATCTATTCTTTTGGTCTATAGTAAACACTTAGATTGATTGGATTAACCACAGTATATGACAACACCATCCCCTTCTGAAATACACCAGTGTCTCTTACATTCATGTTTCAGAAGTCCACTTTATACTAGAACATACGTGTTCAAAAGCAAATAGAGAGATTGAAACGTAACAAAGTTCAGAACCATCAGTTCATGTCATACTCAAAACAACAACCACTAGGAAAGATGGGCTTCGCAAACCAGGGACTTCTTCTAACTGAATTAAAGTGATTTTTCAACAGCAAGATATAATCCACAGAAAATATATTACAAAACGTGGGAAAGACCAACTGAATTTGGGTATTCATTTCATTTTGAATCACAAAACGGAACTCAAAGAAATGCGAAACTAACTGAAAACATAAAAAGCCCCTCTGATTTCAACATCGGATCTGATTCGATACTATTAATTTTGTTCTCATTCCAACTAATTATCCTGCTTCTTATACATGCGCTCCCTGCAGCAGGGACACAATTAGCATGCTCACATTAAGGTGTCTTTGACGCCTTGTGTTTTTTTTATTTGTTAAAGACATGAAAACTCCTGTTGGGGAGGGGAACCATCCTACGTCCACTAGGAACACCCGGGCAGCATGCGCTAGCGTACAACAGGATTATTGCTTCAGGTACAGACAGTGCAAAATACACACTCTGTGGTCTATCGAGTACTCGGGGGTCCGTGGAAAGAAAAGGAACCTTAACAGCTAGAGAGAAGCCATGAGGGGATCTATAATGAGTAGAGCTAACTCAGTCTAACAGCACTTTAAATCGGAGACAATTATCACCAAAACTTAAAATACAACAAAAGCAATCTATAAATTAATATTTCTGCAGTGTAGTACTAAATTATTATTTGTGCACTTTATTAGCATGTTAACTTTTCTGATTAGACATACTTAAACAATAGCTTGTTACTCTTGAAAAACTGAGATCTACTTTTTTTTTTTTCCTTTTTTCTTTTTTTTTCCTTTTTTTTTTTTTATAACTTATACTGGGATCTTTCCAAGTAAATCAGGAGGATGGATCTGGTTACAATGACATAAAAACCCTAATCTGAAGCAGCACTGAAAAAAAAATATAATAAAAAGCTTACTATGGCGGTTCTCAACAGTCCAGGTAAAAATGTGGCACCCTTTGAAGAGGGTTTCATAAAAATGGGAAGTGCTGAGATGCGTGCGCACACACAGACACCCACACGTACACACGAGCACACGCACGTGTGAACACGCGTGTGCACACACAGACACACGCATACGCAAACAAAAAATAAAGTCAGTTTTGTTTCTGCTTCTGGTAAAGTGCTGAAGACAGAAAGGTTGGTTTGGGTGTGGTGCTATCAAACAGGAAACACATTGTCCATCTAGTCAAATGCCAACCTGCAACAAAAAAAAAAAAGAAAAAGAAAAAAAAAAGAAAAAAGAAAAAACCCACTTCCCCGCCTCGAATTTACAGGGGGCCGTGTCGAGCTTCGTACTTGGCAAGGACGTTCTTGCATTTGCCCAGCTCTTTCCGCAGGTCGGCCACCTCCTGGCGCAGGGCCGAGTTCTCCTTCTCCAGGAAGGAGGCGCGGATGGCGATCTGGTTCTCCTTGAGGCGCCGGGCGTCCCTCGAGCGCTTCGCGGCCATGTTGTTCTTTCTGCGCCTGGCCCAGTATTTGTCATCCTGCTCATTAAACACAGAAAGCGGCAGACAGAGTATTAGATTTCAGCACACGGAGCAGCCACCGGGATCCGGCCGCGGGCTCTCGCCGCGTGATTTGCTCGCGCGGACACTGAACCCCACAGGCTTTAGACTTACACGGCAGGAGCCATCGAGCGAGCAGCGAGGCCCGCGTTCCTGTCAAAACCTTCACCCCCGCCCTCCTCGTGGGATTCCTCCAAGGAAAAGCATGTTCCAGCGGTCCAGCTCAGCTCACATCTTCCCTGACCTAGTTAGCGCACCCACCTTCGCGTGCAATGACTCATTTTCTGCCCATCACCGAGTAGTACTAAAATGCTGCACGGTGTCTGTCTTCTTGTGTAGGTCCTGCACATTTTCCTTGCCAGCCCGATCCATTCCCATCCCATGGGTGCTGGGATCACCCATTCCCACCTCTCTGTTTTCCAACTCTTCCTCCTTTGTCCAAAGATTTTTCTACAAAGCTCCACAGGACTCACTCTCGCTTTGCCCTCTAGAACAGCAAGTCAATGGAAGGGGATTTCCTAGCACTGCTTTACAGCTGGATCAGGAATAGCAAAACAAGTGCTTGCCAGAAAAAGGTACCTCTCACCTCTGAAGTTCCACAACACATTCCCAAAGTGTCACGCCTGAAGACTCACCTCTGGGAGTCCACCTTCACTCTACTTGTGCATCAAAGGCTGCAAGGCACTTGAAACTTTCACCTGATTTTTCCAGATTCCAAATGAAGCGTCCTTCAACACCACAGCAGCTTCAGTGCTGCTTCGATCTAAGCTAAACTGAACTAAGTGTTAACAGCAGTGATGGAGTGAGAACTGTGCAGAAACCTTTAGAAAAAGTGTCATTCGGTCCTCTGCAGAACAAGGCTGATGCAGCCCCCTCCTGGAATCATCCAGGCTATTTTCTCGCATTTCCTTATGCTCTGAGCTCGGCTCGGCACCATTTCCTGGGCGAGAACAGCGAGACATCTGCTCCAACCGACCAGGTAAATTCTCCAGCCCTCACGTGTCTGTCAGCAGAGCGCGCCAGGCCTTGCTGCTCTGCACCTCCTGCCACAAGGAGGAAGGATAAAACAATTGCTGGAAGTATTTTATGCCTGGATTGCATTAGCTTAGCTTAATAAGGTGTGCAGAAATAATAATTTGGGTCCGGTGTATCTCTACACTGCCTAGGTGGGACCCTCAGAAAAATCCTCTTAAAAACAAGCATGCAGCAAAACACTATGACCCAAATCTTGTTTATAATTTCCCATCTCATTCCACCCCATAAAAATCAGCTTTATGCAATTTATTAGTGTGCCACCTAGGCTTCATCCATCTTTATTTTAACAAATTGCTATGGCAAATCCCTTAATCCAGGCCTGAAAGAGGTAAGGCTGGCATTTCAGAATCACATGCAGCCCAGAGACGATTGACCGGCCTAATCTGCTTACCCTCCCCCGGGACTCGCCAGCCACTCCACATGCCAGGACAGGAGCAGCCCTTGGGTCAAGCACTTGCAAGACAGTCAAGGGCAGCTGCTGTGATTATCTCAGGGAAATGAGGGACCCTGAACTTCTAGTTCCGTCTTAGACCGAAAACCTGCAGGCTCCACTGTTGCCTACAGACACTGATGGTCACCACCTGTGATCTGAAATAGTCCAAGGGCATCTCTCGTACAAGTTTATGCCTTGGAGATAGCACAAAACCCCACTGGGTTGGCCATTCCACCCTTCCTTATACCCAGGTAGGTGTTTCAATACTTTTCTTTACACAGACTTGGTATACTGCAGTATCAGTAAAGCATCTCCAGTAACAGAATTTGCCTGGGATAGTAATGATGTGGTGCAGATGCATCTTTTTGAACAAAGACTAAGGGCATTATAGACAAAGGAGAAGCAGCAAACCGCTTCCATAGCATTGGAATTGTCATTTCTCTGCTTTTAATTTGGATGACATTATCCTTAGATATAAAAATAGCAAATAGCATCAATGTCTTTTCCTAATGCTATCAGTCTGGTGTAAACACATGGCATCCCAGGCTCTTTGGGTGCAGAGCCAAAGATTCCCAGTGATTCCAAGAGGCTTTCAGTCTGTGCCTTCGGGGGGCAGCAGCAACTGCAGAATGAAATTCTGCACTGACAACCTCTGAGAAAACATTCCTCTCGGAAATAGCGCCCTGGGAATAGGATTTTGCAAATAAAGATAATTTTCATGGCTATCTGATTCAGTATATCAACTGATCAATTTGCTCTGCCCTCCTCTAAGAATTTTGCTCTTCATATCTCAAATAGTGAAAAGCATAAAAGAGGGTGCGATTTTGTATGATTGCATTTTATTTTAAATATTAAATATTAAATATTTAAATCACACTTTTTGGCTGTGCGTTTTCAATGTTTCCTTTGCAAGTGTCTGTTTAATGACATACAATCCTCGCCGCAGATACTCTACCAGGTAGAGCTGCCCATTTTTTCTACAATTAGACCCTTTCATCTAGACTTCTTTAATGCAGTGTTTTCCTTAATTACTAAAGAGGGAGCTAAAAAACCTTCCACATGAGATACAAAATACTTCACTGTCCTTATCAGGGACCTGCCTGGACTACACCCTCTAAGAGAGGGATTCTTCCTAGGAGAGCCTACAATCTGTGCCGATGAGACAGACAGGGTGGAGGAAAAGGAAACATGATCAGACTGTTTCATAAGTGGGAAATATAGGACAAAGTAAGCTTGTGACCTGGGTCACAGAGGAAGTTTCTGGCATACAAGGGAAATTAATATTGATCTCATGAATTTCAGCTGCTGCCTGTCTCAAAAAGGACACATGCCCCTCAGTCATACTTGGAGCTGTTCTAGTTTAATTCTGCATCAAAGTCAGAGTTTGTTTGGCTGATTTTGATGAGAAAACAGATTCAGGCTCCTAATCTATAGCTCAGAAAACAACCGTGATAGAGCCAGCGTACGAACAACCTGGTTACCAGTTCCAATTTACCTTCAGGTCATCTGGAATGAAGACTTTGCGAGCTTTCTTAATCATCGGCTGGGGTTTCAGCTCTTCCTCAGAGAATTTGCGCTTACGAGGGTCAAACATCTCCTGGCCAGGAATACTGGAAAGAGCAAGATCCGCTGGGTCAGGTTCATAGCCAACAGGAACTTGGATAGTCTCCGGATCGATGGGACTTGGTGTGTTTCGGTTTGCTGGCAAGATCTGACCTACAAAAATGAAAGATGAATTACAGCTATGTTAAAAGATAGAAGATAAATGGCATCACCGAATATACAGATTTTAGAGGCCCCCTAAATTTTTAGAGTGATTATTTATTATAACTCCGAGTAACATTGTTAGCTACTTTTATTAAGTATTACAATGGGCATTTTGTAGGGCGCATGCTTAGGTCCAGACATGCTCATACCATTGAATTCAGAATGAGCTTCTAATTCTGATGACTAGTTTTGAATGCTCATCTTAATATGATTGAATCCAACGCCGAGTTTCACCAGGGAGCAGGCAGAGGACATATCACTCCAACCCTCAGCATATCATTAAGATCATACCAGAAACAAATCATAAGCATTGTCTCTTAATTCTGATTTATCCATTGCACTTTAATCCTTCCAATTATTTCTCAAAGAGATTTTTTCACATACATCTTCAAGGGTACCCTTAACATAGGATCACACAATGTCTAATGTTTATAACAGGACAATATTTGATGAAAATGTAATGTCAAGCTTTGCTGAAACACTTTACTAAGGAGGATGCTAAAAGTCTTCCATGAAATCTCACCAGTTATGTTCTAAAAGGCATTAAAAGAAACTAGTGGTATGAAAGGCTGTAAAGACTACTTAAAGATACTCTGCAAAAATGAAAGAATGCATATATATATATATATGTCACATGGTTCCTCTATAGTATATAAAAGCTACTTGGAAGGAGTCTATCAAAAGAAAATAACTATTTCCCTTCCCCAACTTATCTTTTTTCATCTTAGATACATCTTTCAAGATTCCAATTTTACAACATTAATTTGAGCACCATTCCTCTTAAAAATCAAATTTAAATCTTGACCAAAGATTCTCAAAAATAGGACCCTAAAGTCAGGTATGTAAACATGGTCTATCCCTAGGGGTAGCATTTTCGAAAGTTTTCACATGCCTTAGAAATACAAAGTATCACAGTAGACGGACTTGTGATCGAGTTGTTTTTTTTTTTTTTTTTTTTTTTTTTTGTCATTCTGGCTTTTAGCTAATTCACTACGACTTTGGGATATGCTGGCTTTTATAACAACTTCACAAACATCCTGTGACTTCATAATATTTCCTCATTTGTGCTTTGTATCTTTAATATCCATGGTGTAAAATGGCAATCTTTAAATGTCATTTCTAATTCCAAACCAAGGTCAGCATTAACAATGTAGATTTTATTTTCATCTAACGGATAGCAGCAATATTGGAACCACACAGAAATCGCACTTGGGAATTGCACTGCACAAACCAGGGCTTACTAATGGCAAGCTCGTCTTTTGTAACACCTATTTTAAAATAGCCCTGATAAAAATCAGCTTCAGGAAAGGGTAGCGAGGGCCTGGGAGGAGAAAACAGGAGGATCAAAGTTTTGTGATTAAAATATATACACGTCTATATGAAAGAGCCCGAGCGAGGGGAAGGATGGTGCTTTACCCTCATTGTACCAGCAGCAGAGCGCTTCCTCTTGTGCCTCAGGAGGTGGCACGCTGCTGCCAGGACCTTGGAGCTCCAAACTAGACATTTCCTGTTGTGCTTCATTAAGGAGATGAGGACAGAACGGGCGGCCGGGGCCGTGAGAGGGCGCGCGGGGCCGGCTCCGGGAGGGCTCGAGGCTCCGCGCCGGCAGCGCCGCGGAGGGAAGGGGCTGCGGGGAAGAGCGCGGAGCGCCAGGCCCTCGCTCATCATATGCAGGGTTTTCACAAACCTGTTTTTGCAGCTAAACTCGGGAGATAACTGATTAAATCGTGTCTAAAAAAAAAGCGAATCGACACCCCGCCACACACACCACAACCCGGACTGTTAACTGTTTTCAATCCAGCACAAGAGGCTGAATTAACCAAGGCATTGCTGCAGCCCTGCTTTAAAAGGATGGCTAAGCTCATTTCAAATATATGAGCTGGCAGAAACAGGCTTATTTAAAGGATTAAATGAGGGAGAGCTTCCTTTGATGTTAGCACACTCATATCACAGCAGCCGGGCATTTTCTAATACAGATAAATATATAGATGTACACAGACCCAAGCCTTGCAAATTCGGGACTGCAGATACAAGTGAAACAAGGCCTTGTGTCTGAACATTTCACAGTATTACTAGGGAATCTGCAGGTTATTTCTAAAAGACAAGTCGACTGTGAAACCTGCAGCTGACTTAGCTTGCCCTAATCAAAAAACCCTGTATTTAAATCTTGCTGGATTTCTCGCTATATAGTATCAGTTCACATATTACCATTTATTTTTAACATACCCTGTTGTTACAGGGTTATATCTGTTCAGGAATCATTAGCCTCAAAATGTTAACAGTATCTCACCAATAAAGGAAAAGGTAAAAAGATTATTTTAAGCATGGGAAATTGAGGTATTAAATCTTGCCCAGTGCAAGAGCAAAATAAGAAGAAAAAAAAAAAAAAAGAAAAAGAAAGAAAGAAGGCAAAACAAAAGCACTTTAAGGCAATGGATTCACCTCCCAGGGCCCTGCAGACACAGCTAAAGACTCCAGGACTTTCAGTTCTTCCTCGTTTCTGAAAAAGCCTCTTGGAGACAGAGCAGGCCTTTTGTGCACTTAACATGAAAGGTAGTTTAAAGATAATGGGGAGACCCATCTCCAAGGTAGGTGGGAAGAAGAACTTATGCTAGTCAAGATCCTGTTCTTTTCTCCATGCAGAAATCTCCCTTTCCCTGCTCTAGAAGCACTAATTGACTTGGCCTGGTCCTACAGCAAACATCAAGTGGCCCAAGGCACTTTTGAAAGTTCCATGTGATTATACTAAAAGAACTAAAAAAAATAAAAATAAAAAAGCACGTTGCTAAACACAATCATTTAGAAGCCCACAGATTATCATGCTGTAAGACATTCACACTCGCAGCACAAGGACACCCCTACACTAGCTGTCTACCTAACTTGCCTCTCTACCCAGTTATACTAGGGTAAACAATCAGAAACTTCACCAAGAACAGCGTTAATAAGAATATTTAAGACCATAGGCAGAAAAAACACACACAGAAAAACAAGCATTTCCTTGTCCAGCGTTTTACATCAGGCAACTGCTGGCACTTTGTACCTTTTAATTTATTCTATCAAGTTTTGCCAGCGCTACGAGCCAGGAACCTGTCTGTGTTAGCTCGCTGGCCGCAACACCCCCGCGGCGCTGGCCGCGAGCCGGGGCCGCGCGGGGCTCTCCACACACGCGTCCGGGACGCGGCCTCGCGTCGCGCTGCTCCCCGGCCCCCTCTCCCCCATGCGCACGGCCCGTTGGCTGCGCATCCTTCTGCCAAATTTGTTCAGGGTGTTATTTTTATGCACCAAATTCCTCGCAATCAGAGGCAGGTCAAGTAAGAACAGCAATCTGAATGTCATGTGCCTTGCAGCCGACTAATCCGCACATCCGCGGGCTTCCCAGCAGGCACGACGGGCACAGAAAGAGCGGGTCCGTGGCGCCCGTGAGGTGTGAGCGATGGGCCGAGGAGGAACACGCAGCCTCAGGCTGCCCGGTGTCGGGGCCAGATTCCTTTTTGCCATCTCAGTGTTATTTAAACACTCCATACTCACAAGAGCGGCCCAATTTCCACAGAAGAAGTGGCGAGGCTCTTTAATGTGCTTAACTTCGTTCTCAATGGGGGCTGATGATTGCCAAGTGCTTGGGAAAGAACTTGGCCCCTCTGTTCAAGTCGCTTGAAGGAGAGCTCTGGAGCGCTGAGTTGGGAAGCGCAGCTGCAGGGCTCCGCGCGGCAGCAAGCTGGGAACAACGGCTAATGGAAACTTCCCCTCACACCACCCTGGTGATGCGGCCTGCGGAGACCACAACCATGTCAACACCGGCCTTTTGTCTGGACACATTCCCGTGTGCAGGGCTCCACTGAAGCAACATCGAGTGTGCCAGGATAGACAGAGCTCCAGGTGTCTCCTGGCCGAGGAATCGGCAGCTTTCGACAACTCCAACGGTTAGGGCAGCCCCAGCGCCTTCCCTTCATGACTCTGCTTCGTGTTGCTCTGGCAGAACCTAGCAATAGCAGAAGACTTTCCAGAAGGGAGGACTTGAAAGCAATTTGGCTGTTCTAATCCTTTTAGTCCTTCTCCTTCCAGCAGACACTGCCAGCGAGGAAGTCAAATGTAATGGCTATATTTTGAGCGCAGTTCCTTATTCACAGAGAAATGGACTGAGGCCATCCACTCGTGTCATCTAGGTCACCGAACAGCTGGCAAAACATAGCACAACTGCCAGCAATGTTAATTAAAATGCACACGTATAAGTGCATTTATACTGAAATACACTGAAAAATGAAAACACAGATCAGGTACTGAGGGGTCTTGGTCGCAGTATCCTAGCTCTTAATTTCCCCCTCTTTAAGTATCCGACTCATCAGCTGTGCCCAGGAGAATTAGGAGGGAAATAACCTCTTCAACTGTACCACTTGACAGGCTTTTTATTTGTATTGCAAGAGATCCCCGATGAATTATGTAGAAGTCAGTTCTGAGTCATTCGGCTCCCATAAAAACATGCCTGATTTTCAGAAACTCTCCCTTCTCGCACCCCTTCCGCACTTCTCATCAGTTCAACAGCTGGCTGGAAAGCAGTGACCGAGAAGAAAAAGAACAGGAGGTGGCAATGTTCTAATCAAAATACTATTTTTTGTTTGTTATTACAGCTTTTTTTTTTTTTTTAAACAAAATGTATGTTGAGGTAAGGAAAAAAGTTTATTGGCAGCCTAGAGAAAACACGCACTTGCCTATAGTTTTTGTTACTGCACATTTGGATATGTCACATACTGTATAGCTGAACTGGCACACGATGCTCGCCCAGAGCTGCTCTAGAAAACCCTACTGCTCTGCTGGTACATTTTCCAAATCTTTTCCTTTGGCAGTTGGCCACCTATTTGGGATAGTTCTCTTGCTCCAAATCACAGACTGTCCCAGACTAATCTGGGATCTATTTTTGCATTAACTCTTTCAGCCTCTAGGCAACGCATCTC